AGCCAGGCGGATCTCTGTGAGTTCGAGGCCAGCCTGGGCTACCAAGTGAGTTCCAGGAAAGGTGCAAAGCTACACAGAGAAACCCTGTCTCGAAAAACCGAAAAAAAAAAAAAAGAAAGAATTTTTTTATTCATTTATATACTATCCACAGATTCCCCCTCTTATTCCTCCTCTTGCTCCATCCCATCCTCCCCTCCCACGAAACCCCCCCCCATTTCCACCTCCAAATAGGTACGGCCTCCCATGGGGAGTCAACAAAGCCTGGTACATTCAGTTGAAGGAGGTCTAAGTCCCTCCCCCTTCATCAAGGCTGTGCAAGGTGTCCCACCATAGGTAATGGGCTCCAAAAAGCCAGCTCATGCACCAGGGATGGATCCTGATCCTACTGCCAGGAGCCTTAAACAGACCAAGCTACACAACTGTCTTGCTTGTGGAAGAGGGCCTAGTCCAGTCCCATGCAGTCTCCACAGCTGTTGGTCTAAAGTTCATATGGAAAAACAAAAACCCAAGATAGTTAAAACAATTCTGTACAATAAAGAAACCTCTGGAGGTATCACCACCCCAGACCTCAACCTCTACTATAGAGCTATAGTAATAAAAACAGCTTGGTATTAGCATAAAAATGAAAATATAGACCAAGGGAATCGAATTAAAGACCCTGACATTAATATACACACCTATGAACACATGATTTTTGACAAAGAAGACAAAACTGTACAGTGGGGAGAAGCATATTCAACAAATGGTTCTGGCATAACTTAATGGCAACATGTAGAAGACTGCACATAGATTCATATCTATTGCCATATACTAAACTCAAGTCCAAGTAGATCAAAGACCTCAACATAAGCCCAGTTACACTGAACCTGATAGAAGAGAAAGTGGGAGGTAGCCTGGAACACATTGGCACAGGAGACCACTTCCTAGATATAATAGCAGTAGCACAGACACTAAGAACAACAATTAATAAATGGGACTTCCTAAAACTGAGAAGCTTCTGTAAGGCAAAAGACACAGTAAATAAGACAAAACGAGAGCCTACAGAATGGGAAAAGATCTTCACCAACCCCACATCTGACAGAGGGCTGATCTCCAAAATATATAAAGAACTCAAGAAACTAGATGTCAAAATACTAAACAATCCAATTAGAAATCCAATTTTATTTTTTTAAAGATTTATTTACTTATTATGTATACAGCATGTATGACTGACTGCAGGCCAGAAGAGGGCACCAGATCTCATTACAGATGGTTGTGAGCCACCATGTGGGTGCTGGGAATTAAACTCAGGACCTCTGGGAAGAGCAGTCAGTGCTCTTAACCTCTGAGCCATCTCTCCAGCCCAGGACTGGAGAAATCCAATTTTAAAATGAACTTTCATTTATAAGCATTAAATTTAGTCAAAGCACCTTCAAACTCTGGAACTCAGTTACATTACCAATCATTCTGTCCAAAAGACTTAAATTGCCACCAACCAAGTCAAACAAAAACTCAGTCTTCCATGATTTAGAGACAGGCACTTAAAGAAATGAAGAGCTTCTATGAAATTACAACCACCAAAGACACATTCTAGAGCCAAGCCACTGACAGGGTGCACAAACAGCTAACCCTGGGGGCTTATCTCACCTTTGGACCCACACAGCCATAGTGAGTGGGCTGTTGCTGTTATCCAGCTCTTAGAGGCAGGTACTGCCAAGGTGGTCCTAGACCACAAACAGCTCATTCAAGATCAGGGCCTGGGTGAGGGACAGAGGAGGGAAGAATATGTAGTCTATGAGGTGCCAGACTCTGGCTCTGCAGATCACAATCCTTCAATCCTACATTTATAGAAAATTCGAGAACATTTCATCAGGATGTCAGATTTCCAATCAATGAAGTTTCCTGAGCTAAGACAATCAAAAATCCCCAGTTGCACAAAGACCTTTCTTCTCTTATCCTTAGTTCTGAGACTGCAACTCTGTCCATTAGTCTCTTTTCTGCTCCTTCTCCAAGCTGACTGTAGGCTGGAGCACAGTCCTCTGAACCACCTTTCACCTAACCCAAGCAGTACCTAGGCACTCCTGGAGTACACACACTGATGGTGATAAATGGGCTGAGAATGGCATGAACTAGTTACCAGCTCAGTCTTCAGCCCTGTTTCTGAGCCTCTCAATAGGGACCTAGAGGCTGCAGGATCTTAGGGATTCTGTGTTGAATGTAGGTGGTGTTATAGAGCATTCTGGGGTGTCCAGAGTGCAAGGGAAAGGAGAAGTTCAAGCTTCTGGTAGAAGGCAACAATCTGCAGGCAGTCCTGGCCACCAATAGTGTGAAAGGCACCCAAAATACTTCCAATAACACCTATGAGGTATCATTGCAACTGGACCCTCAGCCAATACCCAGATGTTTCCTATCCCTGGCATTTGCTTCCCCAACAATTACAAAACAATCTGCTTGGGCAAATAGAACAGTGTTTGCTTTGTGGTTGTCAACTGGGAAGAGCTAGGAGTGAGAGGGAGGGAGGGAGGGAGGGAGGAAGGAAAAAGAAAAAGAAAAAAGCACCCTCTCTTGCAAAATTGTAATGGGGCCTTGTGAAAAGTTCAAGGACAAGAGACTTCAGGTTTGTGTAGCCCTTGATTAGGGGGATTCTGCAGCAAAGTGGCCACCTGAGCCCGGCTCCAGGCTCCAGGTCAGATGAGGGACATTGTCATAGGGAGCAGGGATTCCAGTCAGGTCTTCTGGGCTCCAGGACCCTCGCCTTGATGCTAAATTCAGGGGAAATTGGAGCTTGAATTCACTTCCTTCCACATTTTAGTGTGCCTTGTTTTTGGTGCTGAGGATGGAAACAGGCCCTTCCATGTTCTCTACCACAGAGCCATACCTCCAATCTGATTTGATAGTTCTTTTCTGTTCCTTTTTGAAAATTTCTTTTCTCTTTCTTATTTTTAAAAATTATTATTCTGTATATGAGCACATGTGGAGGTCAGAAGATAACTTTGTTCAGTCTCATTTTTTTTCACTTCACATTTAAGAAAATTCTGGGGATTGGACTTATGTCTCCAGATTTGTGCAACAAGTCTTTACCTGCTGAGCCATTTCATAAGCCCCTGGCTTTCATTTGAATGTTATTTTAATTTTTGTTTTTTACTTTTTTAATATTTATTTCATTTTTTATGTATGTGTGTGTTTTTCCTGCAGGTATGTTTGATCTATGCATGTGTTCCTGGTGCCTGAGGAGGCTGGAAGAGTGTATTTGAACCTCTGTATGGTGGCTGGGGCTTAAACCTTCATCCTCTACAATAGAAGCCAGTGCTCTTAACTGCTGATCCAACTCTCCAACCACTTTTTCTTTGTTTGTTTTTGGAGATTGTGTCTCACTATGAGGCTCTGGCTGTCCTGGACTCAGTAGACAAGCAGGCCTCAAACTCACCAACATCTACCTGCCTCTGCCTTCTGAATACTGGGATCAAAGGCATGGGCCACCATATCCTACTTCTGACTTGCATGTTTAAAGTGCTTACTGTACAGCGGCCCTGTGCTAGCATTGAGGATGAGCACTAGACAACAAATCAAACCTCACACGGCTTCCATCTCCCTGGAAGACAGACAGCAAGCAAAATGAAACACACCCAGCTTATATAGAGGCTCCAGTGTCAGAAGGGCTAAAGATGCTCAGATCAGCTCCAGCCCACAATGTCACCAGTGCAGCGATACTTCATTGTCATAGCCGTGGTCATGGGGCTCAAGACAATTCTAGAATGGGAAAAGGTAAAGGGATGAGGTAAGAATTGACCAAAACTTTATACAGAGCGGTGATGATCAGTATTTGTTCTGCTAAATCCTACATATAGACTTCCAGCTCTGGATGACTCAATCAGTATGTGTTCTGCTAAATCCTACATATAGACTTCCAGCTCTGGATGACTCCCAGGACATGCAGAGTGGTGACTAGAACTTGAGACTTGGACATTCTGGTGTAGATCCATTTCTGCTGGGCCACTGGATTGAGTGTCAAACTTGAAAATTCGTTTGTCTACCAGGTAGTATGAGTTGTGAGACAGGGTAGGATAGCTTGGGAATTTTGCTGTTGTTTAAACTGGGTTGTGTGCATTGTATGGGTATGTGTGATATGTGTGCATATGTGTTTTTGTGAGTGTGATCATGGGTGTTGTGGTCAGTGGATGGCCTCAGGTGTTAATTCTTACCTTCTACCAAGAGACTGGGCCTCTTTGGATTGTATTTTTAGTCTGTATAGGGAGAAGTGTGTGCATGCCATTGCTTGCATGTGGAGATCAGAGAACTTTGGGAGTCTATCCTCTCCTTCCAACTTTACATGAATTTCAAGGAACAAAGTTAGGTCATCAGGCTTCATGGCAAGTTCTTTTACCAGCTGAACCATCTAAGTTGGTTCTCTTTATTGTGTTTGCCACTGAGTGTGCCTGGAAAAGTGGGCTGTGTTTCTATTGGTTCTCTTGTCTGTCTCCCAGCTCACCAGAGGAACACTAGGGTTAGAGATACAACAGCTTCCACACTCAGTTTTACATGGGTTCTGGGTTTCAAATGTAGGGATTCACGCTTGTGTGAAAAGCACTTTACCCAGTGAGCCATTTACCCAGCCTGGCTTGTTTTCTCCTCCTCCTTCTTTTGTACAGTTCTTCAAGACACAGTTTCTCTGTGTTGCCCTGGCTGGGCTGGAAATTGCTCTATAGATCAGGCTGGCCTCTAATTCACAGAGTTCTTCCTACCTCTGTGTCCTGAGTACTGGGATCAAAAGTGTGCACCACCACTACCCAGCTTTATTTTTTGTTTAAAGATTTATTTATTTTATGTGTATTGGCATTTTGCCTGCATATATATCTGTGTGAGGGTGCCAGATATCTGGGAGCTGGAGTTAAAGACAGTATTGAGCTCCAATGTGGGAGCTGGGGATTGAACCTGGGCCCTCTGAAAAGCAGCCAGTTATTTAACTACTGAGCCATCTCTCCAGCCCCTGGCTTATTTCTAATATTAGCCCCTGCTGATGATATACAGCTCAGAATTAACTTTATTAGAGTCCGTTCATGCCTAATGTGTGAGCTGAATGAGTCAGCCAGGTCTGTTCGGCATGGGAACATGGTTGTTTAAGATTTATTTTTATTGCCGGGCGTTGGTGGCGCACGCCTTTAATCCCAGCACTCGGGAGGCAGAGCCAAGCGGATCTCTGTGAGTTCGAGGCCAGCCTGGGCTACCAAGTGAGCTCCAGGAAAGGCGCAAAGCTACACAGAGAAACCCTGTCTCAAAAAAAA